AATCTAAAAGACTATTGGGAATTGTTGGTAAATGCAATCTGTGACTGCACTGCACAAACCAAAATGGGGTTGTGGGGAAATGGTGGCTTCTCAAAGTTGCAGAAATCTTGGACCTCAGGGCATTTTGCAACAGAAAACAGTTATGACAAAGATTCATGACAGAACTCCTCCAATTAGACAGTAATGCTTGGAAACTAAAATGGTTTTCAAGCATAGCTATCAAATCATTTAAAACCAATATTTAAAGCCATTAAGAGCATGACAACAAATCATATGGTTTCTCTAAGATTTTTAAAAAGTGGTTATTCATCCAGAGTTTTTGCACACATGGCCCATTTACCATTTGAAGGTAGCAGATCAAGTGAAACAATACCTTTTTGTTAAGTCGCACCGATTACGTCTTAAAATCCTAGAAGCACGCTCCCCAATCAAAACTGTAAACAGTCAACAGCAAACTTGCCATCTCACTTTACTGCTGTTATGTGGGACCAACGCAGCTATTACAGCGACTGTTTGCCTCCGAGTTGGGACAGACCCCATTGCTAGTTCAGATTTCCCTCTTCCTTCGCCTTCTCCGGGGACGGGAAGGGGAGGGGGCAACGGGAGATGCTTGAGAAGCGAGCCGGGAAGAAGCAAATGTTCTTTCCTAACAACAAATGACCAGTGAAGGGCGGCGGGGCACGCGAGAGGCTGGGGCGCCGACAACGTCAACATGGGGCCTTTGTTTTGGGTCTGCCGCTGCCCGGAAGATACATAGGCGCGGGGGAAGGGGCTGCGGAAGGCAAAAGGGAAGGGGGCGGCGATTTCTAAGCATGAGGGCGGGCGAAGAAGGCCACAGCCACCGCCTTCCGAGCGCCGACAGACACAGCCGGGTGGGAGGGGGGCAGCTCCTGAGGTGAGTCCGGGGGAGGCTGAGCCCCTCCCTGAAATTTTCGGTGGGGGCTGAAGACCCGACGCCCCCCTGAAGATTACGCCTATGCCTCTAAGCTGAGTTAGTGTGAGCTGGCTCACAGTTTTTCAGCCTCCGGCTCACACATTTTTGCCTTCGCTCAGGAAGGATGGCTCCAGAGCAAATAATTTATGCAGTAGCCAAATCGCTCGCTCACAACTTTAATGCCAGTAGCTCACAAAGTAGAATTTTTGCTCACAAGACTCCACAGCTTAGAGGGAGCATTGCTGGAGACACATCTGGATGCAGTGTACTCAAAATAGTCTTCATCTGCATTGCAGGGTGTCAGTAGGGATGTGTGTTTCTATCTGCCCTGTAATGTGGACATAAATCTTTACCCCTTTCCTCCTGTCTCCAGCTACTAATCAAATATGACTGTTGTGCATGACTACGCACGGACTGTGCATCACCATTTCTTCACAGGACATATTAAATCGGAGGAAACTGAAATAAGGATTTCTTATATGCCCAAATGGTCTGGTCTGGGACTTCAGCCTACTCCAAAATTAATTTCATTTTTGTTTTATATATCTGTCTGGCTGATAAAAGCAGCTTTAAATTTCAGAGACTGCAGCATTTTACAACAATTACTTGAACAATAACAGGTTTAACAATAGCAGCACTTTTTATAGCCTGTTTTTAGGGTTTAAAGTGTTTCACAGTATATTAGCTCTGTAATCATTACAATATCCCTGCGAGGTAGGTAAGTATCCCCTTATTGCAGGTGGGTACTAAGACTGAAAGAGAGGTATTCCTAAGGCTATTCCGGTGAGTTCATGACTGAGGAATGATTTGATTCTTTTGGGCTCAAAGTGCCCACTCTTAGTCACTATATTATACCTGCTCACTGCTTCCTTTCTTCCTTGACACTATTCTATGGGATCAGAACATACTCATACTTCAGTTTGTTTGAAAATATTTCATTCCACAAGTACCCTGCACCTCTTCCCTAGATTCGGCACATTGTGATCCATCTTGCATGAAATGATCTACTAGGACGGATACTTAAATGGGCTCTCCCGTCTCCTAGGAGGGTGTTGGACTAGATGGCCCATTTTCATGCTGTTGTCTGGAATTTCCTTTGCTTCGTTATTAGCCAATGGTCGAATCTGCATTTGCCTTTTTAAATGAGTTTCGTGCTGCTATGACACCGTCTTTCTCTATGCTTGTTTGAATGTTGTTTGGAGAAGATTCTTTTAAAGCAGTGCAGAGGTGCAGTGACAGTGGAGCCGCCCCGAAAGGACGATAAACATGTGGACGTGCAAAAGTATGCTAGCACTGTGAAAACGACACCAAATGTAGACAGCTTTTTTGAAGACTGAGTCAAAAGGCTGGGAAAGACAAATGCAGATTCAGCCAATGTGTCCCTTCAGCATCTGTTGTCCTGAATTTATAAAATGTATACTGATGGAATAATGACAGCTGCAGTGATACCTTCAATTCAACTGAGCTGCTTGAGAGATTCTCCTTTTCATGATGATAACTCCAGACTGTGTTTGTAGAAGCAAAATAAAATGGGAATCCAGTGACAATTTAAAGGCTTGTGACATTTATTCCAGCTTAAATTTTCATGAGTCAGAGTTCACTTCATCAGAAACAGCTCATGCACTACATTACAACCAGCATCCCCTCTAAGCTGAGTTAGTGTGAGCTAGCTCACAGTTTTTTAGCCTCCAGCTCACATTGTTTTGTCTTGGCTCAGGAAGGATGGCTCCAAAGCAAACTAATTTATGCAGTAGCCAAATTGCTCACTCACAACTTTAATGCCAGTAGCTCACAAAGTAGAATTTTTGCTCACAAGACTCCATAGCTTAGAGGGAGCATTGATTACAACATGCCTCTGATGAAGTGGACTGTGACTCACAAACACTTGTGCTGGGGAAAAAAAATTTAGCCTTTAAGGTGACGCTGGACTCCCAGTTTACTTCCCTTCTTTTCAGTCATCGCTAATGAGACCAAGTTGTGCCTGCATGCGGGGATATGGGAAAAGATGAAACAGTAACATGCTGCAGAGTTATTTGGGAATCTTCAAAACTTCATGATGTTACTCAAAAACAAAATCAAAACTGTCTCCTGCATCCCCACCCCCACCTGCCTCCTCACCTGTCCAGGGATACAGTTGTGAGGGTAAAGCTGCTGGCATACATGGTCAAATAGATGAAGAAATGCACGACTTTGCACATGTAGGGCCCGAAGATCCAGTCATCCAGGGTGTAGATGGTGGCCTGGAAGGGCACACAGAAGACAATAAAGCACAAGTCGGCCACTCCCAGATTGAGGATGAAGAGATTGGTGGTATTGGTGACTTGCCTGTTTCTCAGCAGCACTGCCAGCACCAGAGAGTTGCCCACTGTGCCAACGAAGAAAATCAATGAATACACTAAGGGAATGATGATAGGCACTAGGTGCCAACTGTTACTTTCACTGCTGCCAGAAGAGTTCAGCTGGTGCACAGATCTGTTCATCTTGGAAGCAGGAGTCAGACTGTCATTTGAGCAGGGATGACAGAAAATGGATCCTTCAGCAGCCTGGGTTGACCGGGAGCACCCACATCGCCTCCAGGGTGGTCACTTCCAGACAGAACTTTCTCTTCTGAGAAGAGTTTTCCTTCATAGCAGATCTTTTGCGTAGCCTCCCTACGGCTCCACTCAGTACTGACTCCCAGCTCAACACTAGTCCTGCTCGCAATTGCTGCCTGTCATCACATTAATATCATACTCTTAGAGCTCCGTCTTTATTTTTGTTTCTGTACCCAGCAGGTTCTGAGTTTGCACTGTGCCGGAGTCTCTTTCAGTCTGCTTGGCTGCCTCTTCTCTGACTGAAAGCGCCTGCAGCTGCCCTTATAGGTGTGCAAAGCTGAGGGACTCAACTTCTCACCACTTGCAATTATTGGTAGCTTAACTATCCCCTCACTGAGCCCCGTGTGCTCTGAATGCTTGTGTATGCAGTATTTGGGGGGAGGACTAATGTATTCAAGCCTGCCTCTTGTTTCCAGGGAGACAAACAGCTAAAATAAAAGTAATCGTGTCTATGGAAACAGCCCCCTCCCCACATGTACACATGCTGACCATTTAGGTGGTTTGGAAGGGTGGGGTTTGCCCATGTGTTTTAAAGAGAAGGAAAATACAGCTTTCACTGTTTTCAAAGGGGAATGGGCATTCCTCTGTGGATAACTGCATAGTGCAAGGGATGAACTCGAAATAACAGAGGCTTTCCCCCTCGTTGGATGGTTCATAGAAAGGGCAGAATGCTAGGAGTTCCTTTCCAAGGATTTCTGGGCTCAAACTCACACGAACAGCTAGCACAAGTGGCCACTTTGGATACATACAAATTATTCTACTGTGGTAAGCTCGAGGGGCACAGTGGTTGAAGAATGTACTCAAGGTGATCCCGGTCAGCACTGAGACACAGGCAGCCAGGACCTCAGGGAGCTGGAATGGGACAGGTGCTTGGGAGTGTGGTTGGGGAAGGATGTTGGGCATCTCTCTAGCAGGAGGCAGACTGACAGGGAAAGA